CATCTCTTGAAAGTGGACTGGTTCAATGTCTTTGATCAGTACAGCTCTATCGATGATATCTATAAGAGATTCTGTAGTGTTCTCTACAATGCGTTCAAAATATATGTTCCGATGAGACTTCCTGGCTTCGTCCTGTTATATACCCGTTGCATATCAGAAATTTGCTAAACCAGAAGGAGCGTCTATTTCACATGCTGGATAAACCTTTAGCCCTCTCAATAGAAAATTGTGCTGCGACATTGATCGGCATCTGAAGAAGTTCCTTGCTAATTTCGAGCGCCGCCTTGGGTCTCAAAACTCACTGAGAACGCCTGCATCTTTACCTCCGCAACAAATTTAGACCTAAGACCTCCTTACCCACTTTAGAAGATCAGGCTGGCTCTAAGCTCTACACCGATTCTGCGAAGGCTGAAGCTTTGGTTAGGTATTTCGCTAGTGTTTTCCTTCCTTTCAATCCGCTAAGTGCTGTGGACCACAGTCAAGAGGCTTACGATGTAGTTTTCCAGATGTTTATTTCCACCCTGCTGCTGTTTCCTCAGTGTTGAAAAATTTGAAACCTTCCGCGAGTGAGCCAATTGATGGTATCCCACAAATCGTTTTTAGGAAATGCAGCACCTCCTTGTGTGAGCCCCTTGCTCACCTCTTTAACATATCATATCTTCTAGGGAACACTCCACAGCTTTGGAGAAAGGCAATTATAACGGCTGTTCCCAAAAGTTTAGGATCTAACAGAGTTAGTGATTTTAGGCCCATTAGCCTCACTCCTACTCCTGCTAAGGTAATGGAAAAGATCATTTACGATAAAATACTGGCGTGGTTTGGAAAATTTCACCTCATTCCAGCTGAACAGCACGGATTCCTACCTGGAGCTTCTACCTGCACTAACCTTATTGACACCTTCTATGATATCTGCAAGGCCATCAACTGCGGGAAGTCTGTAGATGTCATCCATTTTGATCTTTCGAAGGCCTTCGATAAGGTCTGCCACACAAAACTGTTTTCCAAACTTGATCAGTACGGTATCCGTGGCAAGACGCTTACCTGGCTGTCGTCATATCTCAATGGCAGGAGCATGATAGTTCGAGTGGGGACCAGCTATCCGGATGATTTTGCCTGCACACGTGGGGTTCCCCAAGGCGGGGTGTT